AGGGAGATAAATTTATTAAGACATGGAAGAAAGGGAATGGTGACCTCAGGGCAAGATCCCACCCAGCTAAATTTCCAACCTGTGGAAAAAAAATCTAAAGAAAAGATTAGAGGTTGGTATGCTGGTTCACACTTTTAATCCCGGTACTGGGAAGGCAGAGGCTGGCAGATCTCTTGAGTTTGAGACCAGCCTGGTCTACCAAGCACATTTCAGGACAGTCAAACAGACAGTGAAAGAAAGAAAGAAAACAGGTGAAAATAGCTTTCTTGAAGCTATCATTCATGCCCACACACACATGGCTTTGGGGCTGAGCTGACTCAGGTCACAGAGACCTGTTCACAAGGCTGGGATCTGTGAGACGTGATCTGAGCAAGGTTTGCTTCTTTCTGTTCTGCTTTAATTTTCACTTAATTTACCTAAACAAACCTTATGAGTTGGGTCTTCTCACAGATGAGGCCATGTGCCCTTTTACCTCTGACTCTTCATCTACCTGGATTGGAGGCTTCTCTCATTTTAGCTCAGGGGTCAGGTGTCACCTGAACAGTGAAATGTTACACTGTGGTATTTGGTAGGCCTTGGGTCAACAGAGCAAGCTTAGTATCTGTTCTCGAGTCTCTGGCACGGTTGATGAATTTTATTTATATCACCAAGTTGTTTAACTTGATTGACAAAACATTGAGTATTTCAGATTTCAGATTACTTTGCTAAAGGCCTGCTTTCTCATATGATTTTTTTCTAAAACAAACACAACCTTGCCATGAATATGCTGTCAGAAATGTAGGTGAATGAATAGATGTTTGTATCTTTCTACAATATCAGTATTTATTGAATAATAATAAATTCACAATCTTATATCAGTTTCTTTGGCTAAAATTTGCCAAGGAGTTTCAATTATTTCTGATAAGTGGTCACTGGCAAATATGAGTTCTTTTATTCCAATATCATTTACTAATTTTACTCTCAGATCTTATATTACATATCAGACAGTATATATGTGCATGTGTGCGTGTGTGCACATGCACACTTGCATATATGTGATGTGTGTATGTTAGGGAATATCAGAAGAAGATATATGTATCATGTATGTACTTGTATGTGATATGTGTTAAGGAAGGTCATAGAAGGATTAAGGAATCCACACACAGAAGCTTCACTCAGCACTGAGGTAGAGATTGGTTCAGATGCAGTTGTCCAGATAAGATATTAAGGAGCCAGCTGGAGAGCTGCAGACTAACAGGGCTTAGCCAGGTTCAGGGTTGAGTGGAGCTGCAGGGGGTAAAGTCATGACCATGGGATGGGGGGGAGGGGAGAGACAGAGTCAGGATGACTGGACTACATGGGTAGGAACAGAAGCATGTGATAGCATTGAGCTGAAGCACAGGGGACAATCAGTTCTCTCCTTGTTTGTCTCTTGATACAGCATGGGAGTCTGTGGTGAGGGTGGTGGGTATCAGCATTGTTGTGTTGGGTTGTGTTGTGGAATAGTATTTCAACTATGTCAAGATGCATTACATTATGTGAAGGTGTGTTACATTTGCTTATGTTGCAGAATGTTACCTTAACTATGTGAAGATGTGTTACATTTGTTTATGTCGAAGAATAACTATGTGAAGATGTGTTACATTTGTTTATGCTGCATTGGTTTAATTATGTAAAGATGTGTTGCTGTTTCACCTTGCTGGCCTAAAGGCACCTGATTAGTCTAACAAAGGCTGAATGGCCAGTAGCTAGGCAGAGGAGGGCTAGACAGGGCTGTTGGGCAGACAGAATAACTAGGAGGAGAAATGTGGTTCAGAGATGGGGAGAGGAGGGAGAAAGAGAAGGACTCACCGCGGTCAGAAGACAGGCAGCCGCCAACTAGCCAGAAATGGAGACAGCAGGAAAGTAAGACACACGGAAAGAAAGGTTAAAAGCTCCTAGGCCAAACATAGATACAGAGAAACAAGTTAATTTAAATTGTAAGAACTAGGTAGAAGTGAGAACAGGACAAGGCCAAGCATTCATAGCTAACAAGTTTCTGTGTCATGATTTGGGGGCTGGTTGGTGCCCCCCACCAAATAAAAGCCTGTTACAGGTGTTTTCTTCTTTTGGGTCCAGGTGAGGATGTTGTTCTTTCTTCAGTTTGGGATATTTAAATTTTTTATCAGGTCTGATTTTTCAGATGTTGTCTTATTTCGAGTTTCTCTTGCTGTGGTGAAACACCATGACTAAAAAGAGTTTATTTGGTTTACACATTCACACTGTAGTCCAACACTGAAGGAAACTAGAACCAAAATTCAAACAGAGCAGGACCCGAAGGCAGAAATCTAAGCACAGGCCATGGAAGGGTGCTGCTTACTGACTTGCTCCATTGCTTTCTTGTAGAGCACATGACCACCAGCCCAGGGGTGGGACCACCCACATTAGACTGGGCTGGGCTGGACCCTCTGCCATCATAATTAAAAAATGTCCTACAGCTGGATCATATAGAGACATTTTCTTAATTGAAGCTGCCTCCTTTCAGATAACTTTAGCTTGTATCAAGTTGACATAAAACTATCCAGAGCAGATATGGTTATGATATGCCCTCATTCTCAAGTGTCTAATTGATTATGATGTGTTTATCAGTGATATTTTCACTTTTAGGAATAGGGTATTTATCTGACTTTTCTTCATGGGTGGCGCTGGACGGAAAGCATGTCTATGTGCACAGGAGATGCCCAGGCATCAACCTGTTGCTTGTAAAATGGAGCCGCCATGGGCAAGACCCCATCAGAAAGCCACCATTTTATACAGTAAGGAGTAACCTAGAGCAGGACACAGCCCTATCTCCCCAAGGTCGTAGCCTAAGAATGAGAAAGAGAACAGGACAAAGAAGATATGGACTCGCTGGTGACAATGACACGTTCCCACTTAATAAAGTGAGACATGGAGATGGTCAACTTTAATATTTCACAACACGCTTGGTCAGAAGTGACATGGCATGGATTCCCAACATCATCGGGTTTTCTTTTCTGGCTGTGATGTAGAGAGATGGGGATTGTTCCTGAGAAGTCCAAGAGGCAGCTGTTGACAACGACTGCGGATCAGACTAAGATGAGGAAGCTGAGGAGCGGTGTGGAGAATCACCTAGTGATGAAAAAGGGGGTGTCAGTTACAGTGGGCTCCTGCACATCTGCATCCTACTCTACTTCATCTCAGGAGGACACTTCTCCCTGCTTCACAGACTGTGCAGCTCAGCTTCCAGGGATTTTTTTTTTCTTTTTCTTTTGGATGTATTTATTTCAAACCTTTCTGCCATTTTGTCCTTCAAATGAAAATGACATTTTGAAATATATTTAAAAAGAGACTGAATAAAACTAAAGCAAGTAAAAGGTCAGTCAGTAACCGGCATTTCTGGTTCTCCGGGCCTTTTTTGGTTCATTTGAGACTAGGTTTTATTTGTTGCCCGAGCTTGCTTGGAACTTCCTGTGTACCGCAGGCTCTTACTTACCTCAGCTTCTCAAGTCCTGTGCTGACAAGTGTGTGCAACCACACCCGAGTTCACAGTTCATGAAATTTTATCTTCAATACTGACCTTCCAGAGGAGACATCACGGTCATGCAGATGCTTTCCTCAGGGCAAGGCTCACCCACTGCACTTGGCGTGTGCTGAACCCTGCAATTTCCAAAAATGCAGGAGTCTGGGATGCATAATTTGTAGCCCATATTCCCTAGAGTAGAAAATAAATAAAAATGGTCATGAGATAATTACACCTGCTCATAAAAAAGCAAAATAAAACACAGAACTTTGTATTTACAGATATTAGGTATAAATCTTTTACACTAAGCATTCTTATAGGAAATATTTTGAAATAATAAATGAAAATCGGAGTCTTGCCCATCTTCACCACACTTCTCTGTGCTCGCTCTAGACTGCATATGGCAAAATCTAACCACGACAGTGCTGAGAATGAGCTTCACTTTGCTTTAGTAAACAGGTCATTTCAGTTCTAAAGGACACAAATATTAGCATCGTAGATCCATGTGCACTAAAGTCTAGCATAGTACATTGATCAAACGAGATTAGGTTTTTTTTGTTTTGCTTTGATTGACTGTTTGCTTTGTCATGATCTCACCTGCAGTCCAGGCTGCCTTGAACTTGGTGATCCTTTTGCCTCAGCCTCCTGAGTGTTGGAATTCTAAGTATGTACTGCTGTGCCACCTCTTAAATAATCTTTGTCTATTCTGTTTTTGTCTTAAAGACTATCATAAACCTATAGCCACTAATGCCCAGAGTATTCTATTTGGTGCTATTATCCAATAAACTTTTTATCGGGATCCATGCAATGATAATGATGATGATGGTGATAATGAATGATAATAATAGTTCCTCATCTTCTGTTTTCTTACTTTGAGATCGGATCTCCTCCTGTAGCTTGGCTCAAACTCTCTACACAATCAAAGATGGCCTTTTATTCCTGATCCTCCTGCATTTGCTTGCCAAGCTCTGGGATTCTAGCTAAATGCCCCTGTGTTGATCAGACACTATAGCAGACATTAAATATAAGTTGCACTAATAGCATTTTGCCTAAACAATGATATTACAATGCAAACATCAGAGCAAGGAATAGTCTTGTAGGTCTTTAAACGACTCCATCAGACAATTCCAAGTTTGCATTAGTTTACATTATGAAAAGTTTTTATATGTGTCCTCTCAGGCCTCACTCCTGCTACTCACAAGTCCATGTTCTTACGTAAAGAAAACTGAACTTGAAATGTTGAGAACAAAATAGATAAACTAGTTGATAAGTGTCTCTATTACACTCTGCCTGCACATTTTCCTACTGAACAGAACTGTCGAGCAGTGTCCCTATGGTCACTGTGCTGTGCCAGAGCACACCACAACTTGCGGCCACTCCTTGTCCTAGGGCAGTGAGACAGCCCTGTGGCTAAAGAGCTGATGGTACAAACATGGTAACCTGAGCTGAATCTCTGGGACAGCAAGTAGAGATGGAAGAACTGACTCCACAAATCTTGTTCCTTTGCTGTGACGTGAATAGATTCAAAGCACAGGAACTTTACTAGAGCAAATGCAATGCCCAGGACGCATACTGGGAGAGGATTTCATGCACCTATGTGGGCCACTTCCTCAGTCTAAGTTGAATGGGCCTCACCAGGTGCCAATGGCCTGCCTGTACCTCACCTCCTGTAGTGTTTAACTTTTCACAGCCATGGAGACACCACAATGACTGGGCCAATGACTCTTCAGATGATAAGTCTTTCCTTATATGGAAATGAGTGGTAGCTGGAAACTGTATAACCTCTTGGGGTTGTGATTCTGATCTGGGGGCAGTAGTTTCCATTTCTGTCTACAGTTACATCTCATTGCATCCTCTCTGCTGGGCAGGTGCCTGGCATGTACTACTCTCCATGCTAATCCACATGTGTCTTCAAGGTGTTCTTGTGTCGTGGTATTTAGTGAGTCAGCACAGTCAGCTTGTGGTTCCTGCACGTCAGTACCGACTGTCTACAAGAGATTTTGATCACAGAGACAAATCCCACTAAACCACTATGAATACATTCCTAACTCACTGTCCTTTTAAATAAAAATGTCAGCAGCAGCGACTCAACTGTGTGTTGTAGGGAGACAAGAGAGACAGAATGAGTAAGATGGGGCGTCCTAATTGATTGTGTGAAAATAACTTGACCAATGTCTCTGCAGTGAGTACATGGCAAGTGTCATGGTGGTGGCACATGCAAGTGAGGCACTCGGGAGCTGCTTTCGTTCGGTTTCTAATGTCTGAGCGGAACATAGTATATTGAACTGGCAACTGGATTGTCAAAATGTCAGTGTTGGGGCTGGAAGGATGGCCCAGTGGGTAAGGCCCTTGCTATGGAAGCATGAAGACTGGAATTCACATCCCCAATACCCAGTGGGACACCTGTTCCATGTGCTCAGCAGACTAACCCTACCAAGAACCAGAGTGAGACCCCAGTCTGCTCCTTACTTCCTTGGGTACAAGATTTCCTCTTCACACACTTGTAAATGCAAATGCAAATGGCAATGCAAATGGAAATGCTAATAATGACAGCCAGGATGATGCGGAGGATGATGATGACAATGGGGGTGCCTCCTTCTGTGACGCTAGATCCTCCCTTACTGGGGGGCTGCTCGGTAGATAGGAGCTGGGAGGTGTTCATGGTAGATGGAAGCTGGGAGGGAGATGTAACAATTCCAATATCTGGGGTCCTTGACGTTGATCCTAAAAAAAAAAAAAAAAAAGTCAGGAAAATTCTGGATAAAGCTGAAAACAAATCCCCAGGCCTTCTCTCCCCAGGCAGCCCGAGGGGCTCATGTGTAATAACTGTTTATAACTCCTGAGTAGAAAGAGGAGTAGAGATGTGTGGACGATGTCCTTGCAGAGTTTATGTTATTAACAAAGAAAACAAATGTCTCTGAAACTATCAAACACAGGGCATATTAACTGTGGTTACTACGTTCTGGATATCAGGGCAATTGCTGCTGTTTAATTGTGCCAGAGAAAGATAATAAATCCTTTCAAAGTGATGTGGAGTTGGTGGAAGGGCAGCTACAAGTGAGGAAGGAAAGACTGGAGGTTCAGTGATGCATGCAGACCTCGGGCTCATTAGCAGGCCATGCAGTGCCTGGGCCATTGGTTAGTAGGGAATGAGAAATGCTGGGAGGTGAGATGGGAAGAGAAGTCCTCGTGGTCACCTCTGGCTTCCCAGGTAGGAAGACTAACAAGAACTCACTCACTCAGTCTACCAGATCTTCCATTAGGAACATATGCTGGCATCCACATAGGGAAATCATCAGATTTTCAAGATAACTCTCATGTCTTCCCCACCACATGGAGGTTTCCTTGTGATAATCCATGTATCTACTTACTTGCCATTTTCTTCAATTGTGGTAAGATTACCAGGAAGCAGCGACGAGAATCTCCTCTGATGAATGTTTCTAGATGTCGTAGTAGATTGGTGTTATTCTGCCATTTGTCTATACCTGGGGTTTTATTGGGAGTCAGTGTACATTTTTTGTTCTTTGAATCAAGGCAATTAAAGCCAAAAAAAAGTTGTCCATCAAGAGTGAAATTCCAGTAGCCATATATGGGTTTTCCTTTTTCATATAGACATACCACTGTGACCTGCAAGCTGTGATCACCTGCAAAAGACACACAAACCATCACCTTCTATCCTTTACAGAACCATCACCCCCTCCAAGGTCAAGGCTTTCTCCACATGCTTCAGGGAACTGTATTCTTTCCTGCCCAGCTTGTTATTTCTTACCCAATGGGTACCAGGTACCTCCACCCTGATCAGCTCTTTCATGCACATACAACCACAGCCCCTTTCCCACATGGGCTCTGCCCTTCCTGTATCTGATTTCTTTGCATCTTGTCCTATACTTACCCGTGGTCAGGTCTCCCTCTTGTTCCATGGTATGTAGCTGGCTCCTAAACTCTTCTTCAATGTCTGTTAGTTTTGGGAACAAATCTGCACATTCCTTAGGAACATTTCCCTCCTTTCTTGTGTCATTCTTATCATCGGAATGGAAAGGCACTCCATCCACTGAGCACTGTGTTAATTCCATAATACGTATGGAACGAGTCTTCACAGTGAAGCTGACGCTAAGAATGTGTGGTTCTGTGAGAGAAACATGCAGGAGAGGTAGAAAGTGGGAACAGGAAGCCATAGGAACCCCGGTTGTGTGACACCCAGAATCCTTCTGAAGGGCAAAAGAGCAGGAGGAGAAACCTCTGCTCCAGATGTCCACCAGCTTCTGGATCTCATTTCCTTGATTGTCTGAGGGTGGTAGGACCCTCAATGCACACAGTGTCACCAGAGGGTTTTATCTCACAAGTATTTTTAGTGACTTTAATCAAGTGCTGAGGAATAAAATATGCCAGATAGTATCTGTTCTTGGGACTGAAAATCTACTGAACACAAAGGGAAAGGAGGCATCATAGAACATGTGGTAAATTCAATATGGAGCCTGGGAATTCAGGAAAAGCCTCCTGGAGTTTTGCTGTGAATTGGCATGGGAAGAGGAGTTGTCACCTGTGAGTACAGTACTCGTGCGTGTACCCACTGGGCCACTTCACACAGCGATGTTGGGCATCAGAGGCCAGATTCCCCCTTGTTAGACCACACCCCTAACTCATTCTCAAGAAGAGATCTCTGTGACCTGCTCCAAGCCCCAAACTCTCTCCTCTTCCTCAGACAGTTGTTTCCCAGCACACTTGTGGCCCTTGGTCTCCCAGACTTTTACTAATGGCAACAGAAGATACAGTATACTACAACTGTTCTGTTCAGCAGACGGCACAAACCAGTAGGCAAAACCTAGTGAGGCATACACACATATATTCTCCTTTGTGTGTGTGTGTAGACCTGAAATAAACATTATTTTGTAGGAATGTTTAACAAGTTTGCAATATCATTACACTAGAAAAATGCAAAGTGATATTTTAAAAATCCCTCTTTCCCTCCTCTCTCTCTAAGACTTCTGCTATGAGGTGGACTGCTGCAGGTTTGGGGACATCCTTTCCTGTCTCCTTTGACCAGCTTCCTCTTCCCACTCCTCTCTGCCTCTTCTGCCATCTTTTCTTCTACCCTGGGGGAGTATTTTATCACAGTAATAGAAATGAAGCCAGAACAACACATGTCAGATCCCCTGGACATACTGCAGTGCTCCAGGGATGGCTTCCTGGACCTGGTTAAAGGATCACCATGCTCACACTGTAAGACACAGAAAATCTAGGCTGGTTGAATCTGGCAGTAGAAGAGTGGGGATCAACAATCTCAGAGAAGTGCATGTGCCAGGGTGGATGGAACAGCAAACATTTCCAGGGGAAGTGTGCAGAGTCCATGCTGTCTGTGGATGCTGGAGCATCCCTGCTGAGAAGCACAGTGAGAAGGACCAGAGAGAAGGGCACCAGCATTGCTGGAAACTCAGAGATGGTGATGATGACCCAAGGCTGGGGTGGGGTTAGGAAACTGTATTCCTGAGTCCCAGAAAATATGGTACAGAAAAGATGCCATCAGGTGGGGTAGTCAGGAGGCAGGACCATCAAGGACAGTGGTCCATAGATGAGTAAGGGAGACCACCCACCTTGAAGCCTAACTTCTTAAGGGCGTCATGACTACCAGAACACATAAATCCTAAATAAGATAGATGCTTAGCCACCTGTATGTGACTGCATTTTAATAACTAAAGGCAAAGAAATGAACAGGAGTCAGAAAGTGGACGACCCAGGGCTCCGGTGTCCACTGTTTAAAGCTGAACCACTGAGGCTAGAGAGATGGCACAGCAGTTAAGGGCACTTTCTGTTCTTGCAGAAGATCCAGGTTCATTCCCAGTCACTACATGGTAGCTCACAGCTGCTTGTAAATTCTGTTTTAGGAGATTGTATGGTGTTTTGGTTTCCAAGCACACACATTGTATGCATACATAATGCAGTCAAGATCTTTTTCACATAAAATAATATATCAAAAATATTTATAGCTAAACAGCCTCAAAAACAATCAGACTGTCTTCTTAAGAGGACAGATCAGGTCCCAACAAGGAGGGACCACTCAGCTACACAGCATGTGCAGTGGTTTTTCCTGTATCTTTGTAACTGCCCTGTGACTCAGATGGGAACCCCTGGAAGCGACCGTGAATGCCCTGTTCCCAGAGGGTTGTGGAAATCGTCCCTCATCTAGAGGCAGACTGAGGTCAGCTCTCAAGTAAGCTGCCACCTCCCCCTCAGCAAGCACCTCAGGCTACAAGGAGTGTCCTCTATGGTCATGAGATCCAGGAAATCCACTTGCCAGCAAAGGAGAGATCAAGCGATGCTAAACCCAGGACCTCCTCTTCTCATTTCTAGATGACCTAGAAGTCATAGGCATCACAGAACCCACTGCTGAGTGGGAAACACGGCAATTCCTTTATGGAAACAAGGCACTTTATGGAAGGGAAAGTTAGGAATTCTAGATGGGCAGGGAAGGGGACTGAGCAGGCTGAGGTGGTTTAAGTATCATTTGGGAATTGATCTGATCCTGGTGACAGAAAGCTGTTATCCCAGCATTTGAAAGACTGAGTTAGAGAAGGGATCCATGCAGATTCCATAGTGTGGGCCCTACTGGGAAATCCTGTTTAAAACAAAACAACCACAAGAAAAGGAATGAAGAAGAAAAAGAAAAAAAGTAAGAATGTGTGTGGCTGTGAATATCTTGTCCCTAGAAGTGTCTACTGTCATCTGCTGGAGAAATGTCTTGGAAAGGTGGGAAGGAAAGTTCAAGGACAAAGAAGCCCAGAATGGTGGAGGGCTTGTGAGGAATCCCCCAGAAGGCTGTTTTGAGATCCTAAACTGCCTTAGGTCAGGAGAGCTGTCTGAGACCACCTTCTGAAGGGGTTTTCAACTGTGCCCAGCAGTCGAGTCCTGGTGACTGAGTTTTAGGTTTTCTACAGACCCCCCATCTCCCGTGGTGCCGAGGAGGCCACCAGATATCTCCTTCTGCCACCTAGCTCTCTTCATTCTTGTACCCCCTGCCCCGCTCTTCCTCCATAACTCCGCCCTAATCTCTTCAGTCCTCTGACTTCTGGGTGGGGTAGGCCAGGGTGCCCAGTGGCTGCCCTGTGAAGACTAGGAGGAGCCCAGGAGCTCTCTGATAACCAGGAGTAAAATGAACTTCCTAATTTAGTCAGTCCCCCATGCTGCAAAGTCCCTCCATGTAGACCCTGGGAACTCACCAGCCTGAACCGTTGGCCACTGGCAACTTAGTAGAACCAAAAGGGTGGCTGCAGCCTTTGCCATGGTTCCTTCCTGAGAGCCGGCTACTGACAGGCTTGACAGGTGTGACTGAAACTGTGGAGAGATTTGGAGAGATTAGGGGGTCCTCAGTACAGCTTCGCAGAGCACTCTGTACAGGGATTCGCGAAAGTCCTGAGCACTGGGGTGATGAATTCAGGCTTCCCCATGCTCCAGTCGGTTCCTGGTTCCCATCTTTTCCTACAACTCTTTGGGGTCCCTCCTGGGCCCCGGGGCTCTGATTCTCCCTCCCTGCCTACCGCGGTCCCTGTGGCGTGGAAGGTTCCCTGTGAACTAAGAGGGGAGGACACTGTTGTCCTGGGCTCTCACACGCCCACACCCCGTGGTCCCTTCCTCTCACCCACAGCTCTGCGCCTCAGGGACAGTGGGCACAAGCATCAGGAAGATACAGAATGAATTCAGTCCGCACCTGCTGGTGGTATCTGCGCAGAGGGCAGACAGAGTCTGAGGAAATTACAGAGGAAAGTGCCTGCCCTGTGAGATGTCCATGCCCACTTCACACCCAGTGCCTCCCTGGAAGTTCCAGTCCTTGCCAAAGCAGGAGCCTCAGAGTCCTTGTTCTAGCAGTGCCCCTGCCTCTCCTGCAGCTCCACACACCCTGAATCTCTCAGACTCCAGCCTGCTCTCTTCCACTCCCTCGTTCTCAAGTTTCTCCTCCACCCCAGACTCATTTGCCCCTTCAGGCCCTTTCTTACGACCCCTCCTGCACCCTCAGTGTTTCTGCTGTCCCCTGGCTTGCCACTGTGCGCCGCCCCCAGCTCTTTTTAAGTCACACCCTCACCTCCATTTCCTTCCTTTTACCCTCTCCCTATTGAAGACAATGCTATCTTGTCTTCTTTTTCCCTTAACTCTGTGAACCTAAGACATTTAGGAAAGTTCTGCAAACAAACAAACAAAAAAACTTCTTCCAATTAAAAGTAGCTTCTCTTGCTGGAGAGATGAGTCAGAGTTACGAGTACTAGCTGCTCTTTTGGAAGACTGAGACTGGGTTCCCAGCATTCGCATAAAAGCTCACAACCTTTCATTTGTTTTGTTCCATTTTTTTAGAGGCCAGATTTCTTTGTATATCCCTGGCTGCCTTGCATCTCACTCTATGATCAGGCCTACCTTGAACTCAGATATTGCCTGCCTCTGCCTCTGGAGTGCTGGGATTAAAGGCTAAAGGCCTGTGCTACCGGGCCTGGCAGTTCACAACCTGTAACTGCTGTTCTGGGAGGGTCTATGCAAGCTTCTTGTACTGATGCAGACTCTGTATATGGTACACACACACACACACACACACACACACACACACACACAAAACACTCATAACCCATGAGGCAAAAATGAACAAACCTTTTACTTTCTGTTTTAGAGGAAGATTTTGCATGTGAAAAGTCCAAGTCATTGATGAAAAATTTGTGAATCTGCTCTTACTCTTTTAAAAATGTGTTTTTGCAGATTAATTGTGTGTGTGTGTGTGTGCGCGCGCGCGTGCATGTGTATATTTATAAGATAAAGATTACATCAGTGTGGATCCGCAGGTTCCAGCCCCCTTGCTTTAGGACACAGTGTCTTTCACAGGCCACAGCTCTCTGAGTGGACTATGGTTCTGGCCAGCGAGTCCCAGAAACCCTAGTTCTCCCCAGATCTGTAGCTGAAATGTCCTTGAATTCATTCTGGAGCCATTTTCCAAGAGGTGTCTTTTCCCTTAGGAGTTCCTTGTTGGTGACTTAGAAATTATTTCCCACATCTGTCCACCACTGTCACATCAGCCCATGCATCTGTCCTCCACTGTCACAGCAGCCCATGCATCTGTCCACAGCTGTCACATCAGGCCACACATCTGTCCACCACTGTCACATAAGAACCATGCCTCCCAGAAATCTACTTTCCCCAGCTGGTTGTGGAAATCTTATTCTAGACGAAGTTAATGGGGTTCGCTCAGCAAGCATCTCTGACTCAGGAGCATCCTCATTTCCTGGACTGCAGGGCACAATGGGCACAAACACCAGGAACTCCCCATATCATCCCCGCTGACCCAGGAGGCACAGGCAGCACAGGACCATTCCTGGTTGTTTAGCACACAGCTTTGGCATCACTTGCAGAGAGTGCTCAGGGGAATGGGTGCCACTACTGGGATACAGGATGCTACCTAATCTGGGAATAGAAGATGAGTACAGAGGCCAAATGTGGTCTCCTGTTGTCCCCAAATCTATGAGCTGCTTTCAAACTGAAGCTGGGATAGAGTGTTTGATGTGGAGCCAGGTAGGGAGTTGTCAATACTATGTATCTTTAAATAAAAGCTAAGCAATGCCTGTTGAAATGAACACCATTATCTGCTACTATCTCCCTAGGAGATAGCATAGGATGGCCTGAGAGACCAGAGCAGAGGTCTCCTTATGCCCCTTAGCACAACTGGCAGCATCCTATGTGATTTCAACTTTGCTCAGTATCCCCTACTTTAGGTTCTCTGGGTGAGAGTAGGTGGATTTCCTAGGGTGTGTTCTCAGGTAGGGGCGTGCAATGCCAGCTGATGGAGGAGGTGATAGATCACCTTCCTGGGTGGGAGGGTGATTTGTTCTAAGTTCACACAATAAAATCCTCATTGTAAATAAGAGTACTGCTACCCAAGCACTAGGGATACTGAGGCAGGAGGATGTAAGTTCAACACCAGCCTGGGCTACATAGGTGACCCTGTCTCTCTCATTGTATGTATGGCAGACAGGCGGAAGATACAAGGGTGGTTTGATACAACCTTCATTGCTCTGGTTTTCATTTTTAAAATTCAAAATCCTTTACAGTATACACTCTGGGAAATAGGTACGCAACTCATTTGAAACATGTTTAAATCATAAATTATTCAAAGTATCCCTGAAATAACTTCTTATTCAGTGAGTCAAAATTACATTCTTACAATGGGAATATTTATTTTATGAATATATATGCATAGTGAATAACATGTTAGCCTGAAATTATATGGATCAATGAACAAAATGATCCGCTCATAGAAAAAGCAAATGTAAAAGTTTTTCTTTGTTTTTTCACTTTTTGCAAAATTTTAAGCACATGTTTTGTTTCATTTCTCCTTAACGTTCCAAATTAAGCTACCTGCTATGAGTCCTTATAGGGGAGTAAACGGTGAAATATGCAGACTATGGTAATTATAAAACATATTTCTTTATCTGAAGTGTCCCAATCTCAAATCTCAGAATAAAAGGATTTATTTTTTAATGTAAACAAGAAAGAGTGGAAATCACAGCGACTGAAAACTCCCACTTAATTGTTCTCGGATTCACAAAACTATTTCTGATCAGCACTGGTTCCCACATCCAGCTGCTAACTGGACTCCTCCAATTACTTCCAAGTCTAAAGGGACTAGGTACCTACAAGTAAAGTCCAAACTTTGCTCTCTGCCTTGCGAACTTAAGATGCCTGTAACCAACCGCTAGATGGACCCCTCGGCCAGCTTTGCAGGCTTTGCTACACCTGAAACTTTCTAGAGACATGCTCTCTACTGGAATCAGTGTTTTTTTGCGCAAAAATGCACGCGATCGAGGTAGCCAGTACAAAGCCTCCAGGGATCCCCACACCAATAAAGATATCACAACCAACTATCTACGAAAACCAAAATTAGAATTCAACACACACACACACACACACACACACACACACACGTACGTTCTTTTCTCAGCTCTGTTTCCCTTAACTTAGAACAACTTTTTTTTTAAATCTATTTTTGTTCCTGGGCACTTTGGGTGATCCCAAATGCTTGTTTCTGGAGGTGGTAAAGGAGCTGGCCAAGGGATGCTGATGGCGGGAGGGGGGAAGGGGGATTTAGGGATGGGGAGAAGGGCTTTGCAAAGGACGCCAGAGGAAGTTGCATAAGGAAAGGGACTCCGTTTTTTTGCGCTCCCCCCACCCCCAAAAAAGAAAATAAATCAGCGGGGAAAGAGAAGAAAAAGGAAGCTGGGCAGTGGCTGCAGGACAGAGAAGGAAAACCAAAGCGACCTTTACCTTCGTATCCTTCGTGGAAGGGTGGGGCAAGAGCCCTGACCCACGCGACCCGGCAGTGTGACTCGATCTCTTACCCGGGCTATCACGGAGCGCTGGCGCGTACAGAATGGATAGACAGACCTCTGCCTCGCACCGGCCTGGCACAGAGCAATCAGTTGGGCGGGTCAACTTTCTTTGAGGGACAGACACCTCTGCCTCTCCCGGGCCGGATGCAGATCAAGTCGCTGGGCGGGTCAACTTCACTCACTTTAGCGCAGTGGGCAGCGATCACGGGACCACAGAACTCCCCCC